GCATACCGCGACTAAACACGTGTATACATGCACACACACACACATATATATATATATATATATATATATATATTGCAGTGAGCTTATATTAATTTTATTGATGTCTGGCATGTTATGTATGGTATCTTTGCCATTTTGTTATCAATGATGTACATCTTGCGCTGCACCTTCGAGGAGAATATCCGTTATCATTACAATTACACCAGAATCTGATTTTAGTTCTGATAATTTACTTAACGAAATTATAACTACTTAGCGTTTGCTGTATTATTAAAAATAAAAAATAAATGGCGACCGTATTCATAATAGAAAAAAAGAATGCTTTGAGCTTTCGTGTATTGAAGCTATTTTCGTCATGATATATTTGTACATGCACTTTCGTGTTTTTATCAAGAAAATGTTTTAGGCCATAGTTCTGCTACGTGTACGGAATTAGCAACTTACACGACGTTTGTGTCGGTATGTGTTTGTAGTTTGTTTTGCCATAACACGAGTGCGATATCATCTTGTTTAGTAAACAAACCTGATACGCTCAATGTTAACGTGCTAAAAGAAATAAAAAACGACTAATGTACGAATTTTAAAAGTGCACATTTTCTTTCCTCTTCAACGAAAGTATATATATATATATATATATATATATATATATACGCGAGCGCGCGAGCGCGCACGCAGGCAGGCACGCACGCACACACGCACACGCACGCACGCACGCACGCACGCACGCACGCACGCACGCATGCACGCACGTACGCACACATTATACAGAAGACATACGCGCACTCACATGCACACGGACGCCCGTGCGCACTCATATAGGCCTACGGACGCGCACTCAAGAACAAACGCGCGCACGCACGCGTGCGCACTCGTATGTGAGGTATAGTACGTGTAAGCGGAGTAGACATAATACGATATACGTGACACTGTCTATTAATATATATACGTGCGCGCGTTTGTGTACATTATCCTGTCTGCGCGTGCGTAAATACTTAAGACGCGTGTTGCTCTCTCTTCTGACCCCTTAGTTACTAACACGAGAAAGCCAAGGAAGAATATATCTCAGCCATTTTCCTCTACATGTGCGACTTTTTGCTATATTTAGAACATATGTAAATATGTCAAAACACCTCCAATGGGGCGTTAAATTGGAGTAAGAAACCAAGCAACGTCGTGTTTCCCACTAGCATTCTCACCACAGAAATCACGTGACTATCGGCTATAATCTCTGATGAAGTAGGCACAGAAATGTCATAAAAATGGCATTTTTAGACAAACAGGGTTTCTAAGTAAAATAATGCCTCTGTTACATTTTTAATGTCACCGAATTATTTAAGAAACACAGTAATTGCCAATAACTAACTGTTTTTATTGTTTTTTCACCAACAATACTTGGAACTATTTTTTCTGTAGTAAGTCGTTTTCGAACATGGCGATGTCAATAAACAGCTAGAGATTTTCCGGCGCTGATTAAAACGGCTGTAAACAACCATGTTACAGGGTTCAATTTGAAGCCTAAGCAGGTGGAATGCCTCAGCATTCTGACCGAGAAGGAATGCTATCTGATAGCCACTTTACCAACAGGCTATGATAAAAGCGTGATAGCGCACCTGATCGGTCCACTATAGGTTAGGGCGGACATACGAGAACTTTGCCACATCCGGGACTTTCTTAACCTAACAACCAGCTGTGCCGGTGAAAACAACAGCCTGTCTCCGTGAGCTTACACACGCAATACCCCATTTCCAAACCAAAAGCATATTAATTTCCTTGCATATATGCCGAAAACTTGTGTAGTAGTAGGTTGTCACAATCATATATATTGCACATATATATGTGCGTGTGCGTGTGCGTGCATGTGCGCGTGCGTGTGCGTGTGCGTGTGCGTGCGTGTGTGCGTGTGCGTGTGCGTGTGCGTGTGCGTGTGCGTGTGCGTGTGCGTGTGCGTCCGAGT